TCCCAATGGAGGATGGCCATGCTGCAGTCCCTTCTCCTCCATTCTCTTCTTGAGATTTTGGGCATGCTTGCCCAAACAGCAAATATCCATTTCTGGAACTCAAACCACGCAGTCCAGTGATGTGAGATCCAGCCGCCTTAACCACTACACCACACTGGCCTCCTTTTGTTTTTAAATTTTGCCATAGACCACACATGCACTTGGGGTAGGGAGCAGTGAGAAAGCACCCCTCATAGGGGGTGGCCACACCACAATCCCTTCTCTTCTATCTTTCCCTCCTTTCTGGAATGCACTCATGTTTCTCAAGCTGCCATGTCTGGGACTTGAACCTCTGCTTTGTGGGAGTCTAACCGCCTTAACTACCACACTACAGCTGGCCCAGAACTGCGATATTTTCTTTCTTAAACATGTTATATTTTATTTATTTGCAATTTTTAATTCATTAAAATGTTTATAAATTAATTGTATAAAGTATTTATTATCCTCTGGGGAAGTAAATATTCTTTCAGGAAATGTAACTTTTGGGTAGTTTGCAATGTAGAGTACTTAGAATTCATATGTAGTGGGACCAGCAGGTGGCATGGTGGTTAAGGTGCTGGGCACTCCTACATGGTCTCTGACTGAACTGGTGGCTTGCTTTCTCACTTTCCCTCTCTCTCTCTTTCTCTGTCTCTCTCCAGTCAAATTAAAATAAATGAATGAATAAATTAAATAAATATTCTTTTAAAGAAAGAATTCAAATGTACATCCATAAAACTTTTCAGTGGCAGGTTTAAGAGTAGAATTGTGTGTTATTAGCAGTTCATTGCCTTTGGGTTGTTTGCAATTTTGGCTGTTAGGAAAAAAGTTTGTGTTCAGTTACGGTGTAGTCATGTGTTGTTACTTCTCTTGGGTTTAGAGCCAGGCAGGAGAAGAATTTTGAGGTCAGATGCTAGCTGTGCTGTAGCCTACCACATGATAGCTACTGTTCAGTCCTCATTTAGGGGCACCCCCAGGCTGTAAACCTGTGTCTCTGTAATCATCTATTGCTGATTCCCTTTGTGTAGCCTAGTCTCCAGAGTTGCCCAGTATTCCTAAATGCGTCTTGAAATTTTTCATTCTGTTGCTTATTGAAATCTTATTTGTTGCTTATTAGAAATGCTATCTCTTTAATCAAGTTCTTCCTGACCATTCCTCCCCTCACTCACTGAAATTTTGCTCTCCTATTTAACCCTCAGAACACGGTATTTTTTTGAGGTGCTTAACACTGCCTTGTATCACCATTTGTCACACTTTCTGTCCATTTCATACAGGCTTATGCTATCCTGTACAGTAACTATCACTACATGTGCTTTTACGTTAATTACAATTAAACTAAAAATTCACTTACCCTATTTGGACAGTATACCTAATATTTCTGTCTTTGCAAAAAGTTCTTTTAGCATTTTTCTAGATTATAAACTCAAAAGAGGGGCTGTGACTTGTTCTTTTGTTTTCTCTGTAGCTTTGCTTATCTTGAGTTCAATCAATAAAATAATGTATTCTGACACAACAAAGAAGTTGTATTTGGGAAATGTTTACTTCTTGGGAGACAGTAGTTGAACCAGAGAAATAGATGAAATTTCGAGGACCTCCATAATGTTTTGTGTTGGAGGTTCGTCAGGAGAGGGTTAAATGCATAGGGGAATAGGTATTGGTACTTGCAAATTGGTTTTTGTTTTTTTTTTTGGAAAGGTTTTTGCTATAGGGTGTGTATGCTTGCCAGAAAGACAGAGACAGAGACACAGAAAGCGAGAAATCACCCCCGTGGGGGATGGCCACACCACAATCCCTTCTCCTCCATTCTCCTCTCAGGATCTTGGGCACCCATGCGCACATGTGCCCAGCGTGAGTTTAAGCCACTGGGTCCAGGACTCAAACCGCGGTTGACTATGTGGGAGTCCAGCGAACTATGTGGGAGTCCAGCGACAGCCATTTTGCCAGCTGCTGGTCCCTGTTCCTTCTTGAACTGTGGGTTAAAGTATGCTTACTTGGCTGTGCCTACCTATCCTTATCTTCTCTCTACCCTGTTCTGATCTGTGTTGTCTTATGTGGTAGCCTCTAGCCTTCTGCATTTATTTAATTGAAGTTAAATGAAGCTACATTCTTTGGGTGTTAAGTAGTTAATTTGGCAGTGGCTGCCATCCTGGACAGCACAGATGGAAGAGAGCATCATCTATTGGCTAGTGCTGATTGAAACCTCTACCACTTAGCTCTAGTTGTGGATGCCATGGCAAATTTAATCTTACTTTGGTTTAGAAGTTTCAGAAAATGAGGCAACGCTTCAGATAATGGATGTCCTAATCACCATTTTTGCCTGATTATTGCTAAATTAGACCATAACTTGTTGTAGACACTAAGGTTGAGACTTATTAGGTGCAAAAGCAATTGTAGTTTTGGACTATGAATTTTTAATCATTGTAACTAGGCTCAAACACATCTTTAGTCAAAATAGGAACCAATAGAGTCAACACATTTTTGCCAGTGAGAGATGTTTGTTCCTGTAGCGTCAAAATCTATGCTTCGGGATTCGATAAACTCTTGGAAAGCTGCTTCTGCATGTTGCTGGTTTTGGAAGCATCTTCCCTGCAAAAACTTGCTGAGATGATTTAACAGGTGGTATTCAGTTGACCAGAGGTCAGGTGAATATGGCAGATGAGGTAAAATTTCATAGCTCAGTTTGTTGACTTTTTTTTTTTTAACACATAGTCATGGTTTTAACTTTCATTCCTAAACAGTTTATATTTTACTTGCTCATATTACAAATGCTTATTACCAATGAGCCATAGAAAATGCCATACAACTAAGCAATTAGTTCACAGAAATCACCCACATTTCATAACATATTTAGTGCTACTAAAAACATATCATGAATTTTTCAAACATATAAATGTAAACAAGGAAAATCTGATTTGTTATATTTGTGCCCCCAAAAAAGAAAATCACAAGACAAAGAAAAAGGCAAAAGAACAAATCTGACTTCAAAATCAGTCTGTCTTCACTGCTTTTTTGTTTTTTGGTTTTTGTTTTTTTTGAGAGGTTTTTGTTATAGGGCACGAGCAGGCCAGAAAGACAGAGACAGACAAAAAAGTAAGAATTCACCCCTTTGGGGGATGGCCATGCCGCAATCCCTTCTCCTTCATTCTCTCGGGATCTTGGGCACACACGCACACGTGCCCAACATGTCTACTGGTATTTCTGAAAAATAATTCTTTGACACGAGCACAAATATTTTCAAACTGTAAGAAAAACCTGAAGTTTTTTTTTTTTTTCCTGGAGAAAAAAGTTTTATGAGTTTGCTAAGAACTTCATATTTCCTACTAGAACCATATTTATACCACATTTACCATGTAACAAGCAGTGCAGCAAAGGAACTCTTAGAAATGCCCTTAAGGGTATGGTTTATGATCTTAAAACAAAACCAAACGCCAGTAGTATTTATTTTCAGGCCATATACTCATAATTAATTTCACACTTTAAAATACATATTTTTCCACTTAAATATGCTACTGTTGAGTTGTCAGAAAAGTAATGCATTTTCACATAGAAAAATTTATTCAACTTTTAAAGCCTTGGGTTGTATAGCATATGGTGGGGCAATGCCATGAATTGCGCCCTTTTTATTGACCAATGACAGCTGTAGGCATTGCAGTTTTCCGTGCATCTCTTCAGTTTGCTGAGCATACTTGTCAGATGTAATGATTTTGTAGGGATTCAGAAAATTGTAATGTATCAGACCCCACCAAACAGCAGCCATGTTCTTTTTTGGTGCAAGTTTGGCTTTGGGAAGTGCTTTGGAGTTTCTTCAGTTTCTTCTTAGTCCAACCACTAAGTTGTTTATAGGTTGTCCTATAAAATCCACTTTTATTACACATCACAGTCTGATTGAGAAATGACTTGTTGGCGTTTAGAATAAGAGAAGACAGCACTTCAAAATGATGGCATTTTTGAATTTTGCTCAGCTCATTAAGAGCTCTTTCACCTTTCCAATTTGCTTCAAATGTCGAACAACAATAGAATGGTCAGAGTTGAGTTCTTTGGAGAAGTGATTGCAGTGTGGCCATTCCCACTTGGGGGGGGGTTTCTCGCTTTCTGTCTCTGTCTCTCTGGCGAGCACACACTCCCTAATAGCAAAAATGTCTAAATTAAATATATATGTGTATATATATATATATATATGTGTGTGTGTGTGTGTGTGTGTGTGCATGTACACACACACACATATATGTATATTTTAATGGGGTGGGGTGATAAAAGTCAGAGGAGATTGCTGGACACACTAACGGGAATCGTACTGCTGTAAGGGGAGGGGTAGAATCATGATTGTAGCTATTCAAGTTCTGGAACTTTTCAGGTTGAAAAAGATTTGTCAATGATAGACTACTGAATGGTTTAATAGAGTTGCTGGGCGTGTAGCTAATTTATCTTTTGTAGGAAAAAATATTTAATGCTGGTTATTTAAGAATATAGGAAAGTGCAAAAAGAACACTAACCCACCCCATCTCGAGACAGTCACATTTCGTATTTTTATGTATTTCCTTGCAGACTTTTTGGTTTGTGCTCAGGTTCATGTGCCTGTATGTGTAGGTATGAATTTGGGGCACTGCACTGCAGGGCATGTGCTATTTCATGCTGTAGAAATATCGTGGTTTACTTACCTAATGTTTGTTACAAGTATGTTTTGAGTTATTTGTAGAGATTTTTCACTGTGTTAAGTAGGGATATGGTGAACACTTCTTTCCCTGAGCTTTTGATGGCCTGAAAAGAGCTGTGAAGGAGAATCTGCCATGTCCTGATTGGGCACCCCAGGACAATGGGCATTCCTCTTCCCTTCTTGACTGATTGGGAGCGGCATGAGATGCCCGGTTTCATAGTAGGCTAGAGAAAGGACTCTTGCTACTTGCGCTTTTGGGACTGATGCTGGAGAAAGACCTGAGAACCAAAGCGCTTGGCTAAATCCCTTTTTTTTTCCCCTTTTAGTTCTTGAAATCATGAATCCTGTTTATAGCCCTGGATCTTCCGGGGTTCCCTATGCAAATGCCAAAGGAATTGGTTATCCAGGTAAGCAAGTAAAACTTTGTTTTTATTATTGAACACTTGGGATATTTCCATGTCAGTAAGAATGCTTTCAGTTTACAAACCTATCTCAAAGTGGCTTAGGCAAAGAAGAAAGTATATAGAACTGAAAAACAAGAGATGGAACTGATTGTGATCAAAGGTTGATCTGGTGGCTCCTGTGGCTGGGATCAGGATCTAGTTTCTCTACTTCCCGGTCTCATCTTCACTTCCTCAGTGTTGTCTGCAAGTCCCGTGCTCTCTATTGTGGTCTCTGAGATCTAGCCCTTCCCAGAAGGCTCTCACCAGAGCCTCCATCTCTGCCCTGCAGAAGTCTTCCGAGGGGGACTTCTCAATCCCTGGTCACAGCAGTTCGCTATTTACAATAGTTCTGGGATTTGTTCTGTTTGAGCTCAGCTTCCATCCGTGGGCCAGTGAGGGGATTCTCCTGGTTAATTTAGGTCTGAACCACATTATTCACCCCAAATAGAGTCAGCTAGTCAAATATGGGCTGTGAGGGAGGCAGTGAAGCACAACTTGAGAAATAGGAGCTGGTTGGTCAAAAATAGCAAATGGCTGTCCTGATTGGTGAATGAGGAGTAATTATTTGTAATGTTGAAGTTTTATTGTGGATTTTTATAATGTGGAAGAAATGATCCTAGAACCTTGTTGCTACAAAGCCCTTAGAAAATTGGAATAAAACATCCTACAGACATGTAACTGAACTTGCAGGAGGTAGGAGAAATAGTTGAGGTCAAGTGTTAACGCGATGTACGGGAAACTCAGCTCATTTGTCCATTGAGTGTCCATCACAGGGGCATTTGCTATTTGTGGGTTTTAACAACCCACATGGAGACAGAAGGTGGGGTTAAGGACCCGATGAGAAAGGAGTAAAGACCCGTTCTCCACCAGTTTGGGCCTCTAGTGGCTCATAGTCCCAAGTAAAGAGGCAGATTGAACAGTTCTTTCATTGACCCCACAAGGACGCTCAGGTCTGCTTAGGCTCTGGGAAGAGGGAAATCTTTCCTAAGAATTTGTAATCGTTCAGGACTGTGTGGGGCTCCAGTTTGTATTACTTGTACTTCCCATAGGGCCCAGAAGTTGAAAAAGTACCATAAAAAGTGGTCTCCAGACTGTATTTCCTCCAGAGCACCTGACAGCAGTGAATGTAAAACTAGGGAGGAGACACTTGTCTTCAGCCCAGGTTGGTGAGTCTCTCACAGACAGTTACGCCTGTTTGCATTCTAATGACTATAAAACAAGATGCAGTCTTTTAAGTAAGAGTCATCCATCTTGACAGACTGAAGGGATAGGACTATCACGTAGGAACCATGTCACACAAATATAGAAAATTGCAAGTTTGAAAGAAACTATAGGGAGATGGGCGAAGCAAACCGTAACTTAAAGGAGAAAAATGGAATTTGAACAAAATTCAGGTTGATTTGTGGATAAAACATTGCTAAAAAGAGAATCAGAATGCACCATAAGGAAAGGGGGGATATAAAAGACCAATTCATTTATTTGAAGAGAATTAAGAACTCCAAAAGGACTGAGTGGAGAGAATTGGGGTGGGGGTAACAGAGTTTTCAAGAATTGATGAGAAATATGTACATTTTTGCATAGAAAAATACATCATGACTTTCCCAACAACCTAATAGTAATAAAACCTACTCTTTTTAAGGTATTGACATTAGTTTAAACAAAATGTTGGAATAGGTAACAAGGATCCCGAGTGGATCAGGGGGCCAAGGTAGTAGTCCAAACCCATGGTCTCAGCATTACCCAATTGCTTTAGGCAGCCTCAAAACATTGACTGCCTCTCATGAACCTCAGGTCTGTGTAAGGCTGTGAGATGCATGTACTTTATCCCTGCTGTTTGATTGGTCAAAAAGCAACTACAAAGGCCAGGTAGTAAATATTTTAGGCTTTGTGACTCATACCTTCTCTGCCTCAGCTCCTTTGTAGCTCCAGAGCAGCCTCAGACAGTGCTAAGTGAATGAGTAGGGCACACCCCAGGAACACCAGGCAGTGAGTGGCTGGGGGAATTACGAGCCTTTGCTGACCCCTTGGTTGAGAGAGTTGGAGTAAAACGCTTTTAGGGCTTGTAGTTTTGGTCTAAAAATTACATTTTAAAAGAAGATTTGTGGTACTGGCAGGTCATGTGGTTAAGACCCTGGACTTCCACATAGCTGACTATGGTTCAAGTCTCAGAACTGGCAGCTTGCTTTCTCACTTTCTCGCTCGTTCTCTGTCTCTGTGGTCAAATTTTAAAAATTAATTAAGTCAGGTAATTCTTTAAAAAAATTTGTATACATTTAGAACAGTTTTAAATTGTTAATGCTTTTATATATTACAGTTTCTTTATACGTATCTTGCCTATTTTCTCAGTTTAGGTACTGACGATTTCTCTGCCTTTTCCCTGTTTCACTGAGGGCTCAATGTAGGAATTTGTAACTAATCCAGATCATTTAAGCCAGGGGGCTAGATATGTGGGATTATGGGTCTGCAGAATTTTGAGGCCATCCTAACTTCAGTACCAAAGCTGACAGATATTACAAGAAAGGAAGGTATTTTTATGCCAGTTTATACTACTGGCAAATGGAGAAATAACTTTTCTTTTTATTTACATTAATGGAAAAGAGGGAACTCTTCCCCAAAATACCTGTCTTTTAATTGTAGCAATGTAATTGCTGATTTAAGTGGGTTTATATCTACTGTCTCACTATGATTTTCTGGCTTATGTTCTCTTTTTGCCTTCAGAGAATTAATCAAATGTTTTGTTCAATCCTTCTTATAACTTTTTAAAATTTTTCTTACTATGCTCTCTGTGGTTACTATTAAAAAGTAAAGATTACATTTTACCCCCTTGCCTTCCTTTTGTGTTGTTATTGCCATACCTAAGCTGTGATTATTTTTATTTGGTACAATCAACAGTCATTTATATGAGCTCACACACCTAACCATTTTTATTGTTCTTCATTGCTTCTCTGTTTACATTTTTCTGTCTGGGATTATATCCCTTCATCTGAGCAACTCTTTTTAGTATTTCTTCTTTTCTTTCCTGCAGGTCTGCAATTGACTTTTGTTTTTGTGAAAATGTCTTTATTTTGCTTTCATTTTGGGTGCCTAGTTTATTTGCTGAATATAATTATTTGTTTCCTCCAGCTGCTTGTAACAAATTGCCATAATTTGGTAGGTTAAAATGACAGAAATTTGTTTTCTCACAATCTAGGAAGCCAGGAGTCCAAATCAAGGTGTGGGCAGGCGTCGCTCTTCCTCTGGGTGCTCTAGGGAGAATCTTCTTTCTCCTCCTTGTTTCTCGTGGCAGTCAGTACTACTGACTGCACCAGTGTGGCCTACTGGCTGCACCACTCCCATTTCTGTCCCAATGGTCATCCTCATCTCCGTTGTGTATTTTTATAAGGACACTTGTCACTGGATTTAGGACTAACTAAATCCTGGTAATCTAGGATGATCACATCTCAGGGTCTTTAACTTAGTCACATCGACAAAGACCCTGTTTCCAATTAAGGTCACTTTCATAGGTTCCATGTATTTGATGAGTTATCTTTTGGGGCCTTCCTCCCACCCCCTACTATACCGAATATAAAATTTTAGTTTGGTAGTTATTTCCTTTAAACACTTTAAAGATAGAATTGTATTGTGTTTTGGTTTCTGTCAGAATAATTTTTGCTTCTTTGCAATTAATGTGTCACTCCATTACTTCTCACCAACCCCTGTTCCCATTGATGCTTCTAAAATATCTTTGTTTTTGCTATGATATGACTAGACGGGATTTTCTTTGTATTTATCTTACTTAACATTCAGGGAGCTTCTTGACTCTGGATTGATTTATTCTATCACTAGCAGTAGTTCTTTAATTTTTTTTCTCTCCTTTCTCTCTTCTTGGGACTCCGTATAAAGTTTATTGGACCATTTCATTCTTTGATCTTTTGGACCTTTTTTGTTTTTTCCTCCTTTTTACTTTATGAGCTTGTCAAGCCAAAAAGAACAACTTATAAAGCAGAAGTTACACGGAAAAGGAATTTCACAAAGCTAACATCAAGTAAGGTTTGGACCTTAGAACATCCTGCAGCATGGCCAGGTGGAAATGGCAGTATGTCCACCCTGAAAAGACCATGCTCTTTTATGCTACTGAAAAAGGTTACAGTATGTGCAGGGTTTTTTGAAAGAGCTTATGTGGGACAAAGATGACAGAAGAGGGTCTTAACAGAGATGGGAGAAAGGATAGGATTGGATTAAAGTGCATTCTCAGAAGCTATCTGAATTGACTTATGGGCAGTGATGATGCGCATTCAGCAGAGTGCATCATCAGCCTAAGGGAGACTGAAAACCTGGAATTATTTTGAGAAAGAATGTCTTATGAAGGTTGGTCATGTCTGTCAATAGGGAGTAACCTCAAATGGCAAGCAGGTCAGTTAGCCATCTCTTCCTCATTTCCTCTGGCCCTTATATTTATTTAAAAATATTTATATAGCAGTCTCTCTCTCTCTCTCTTTTTAAGAGAAACTTTATCTTCACCTTTTCTAAGAATATGGGAATAACAAACTCAGTTTTTCTGTTACTCCTGAACAGTAAACAGAGAAGACTTGTGTCGTGGGGAGTTTCCCTGTCATCAACTAAGTGGTCACTCAATTCTTCTGCAGACACCAACTGGATGTCTTCAGTGTTCTGATGTTATCTACCTGATGGTAATGGCAGACCCAACAGACTGAGAATTCAATTCCACAAGGGGCAAATTCCACAGGGCTGCGCCTGAGTCCAATGTCAGTCTTGAGACCTGACTTGTTTTGGGTACTTCTGATTAATTGGTCCTAAATTAGGGTTCTCACAAGCCTTCTGCTCCTTGGGTTTGATTAATTCGCTAGATTCAGGGAAACACATAGATTGTCAGTTTATTATAAAGGAAAACTTGAGGAATACAGATAAGAGATATATAGGATAAGGCACATGGGAATGGGCACGAGCTTCCATGTCCCCTCTGG